TGGGCGGGGGGGGGGGGGAACACGCGGCACGTCCGGGGCGGCGGGCAGGGCTGCTGCCTTGGCAGAGCTCCCGCCGCCGCCGGGCTCTGCCCGCCTCCCGGACTGGGCTGCGAGCACCTGTTCGTCCCCGGGAGCCGGCCTCAATGGGGGGGTTTCGGTGCTGGGGTCTGACGGTCACCTCAGTGCTGAGGGGTCAGTCTCCCTGGCCAGGGTCTGATCCTCCCTTCGAGGGCTGGAGGGGCTGGCAGAACTCAACTGGTGTGTGCAGGTTGTGGACGGAGCAGTATCACCGCTGCTGAATATCTTGCTTCTGGTGGTTTTCATAAATGGTAATGGCCTGTCAGGACGGGATAGGTAACAGGCACCTTTAAGCCAAAGGGCCTCTGCAGTTCAGCTTCATTTTAACAGGCACCTTTTAAAAAAAATGGGGATTTAGGTAATGGCGTGCTGGCACCCTCAGAATGTGTGTTGAAACTATGCTTCATCTAAAGGGAACCCCCAAACCTATGGCCACCAGAAACTTCAGCAAAATATTAGTAAGCAATTTACCAACCTGGGGTAACTTCTTAGTTGCTTGTTTATTCGATGGCAAGAGTAAGTCTGAACCAACAGCTAGTAAGCAGTCTAATAATACAAATATCATGAGGATACAGCACTTCTGAAGCGTGCCTCTGCTAGCTTTAAATTTCTACTTTAATTCCAGGTTGAGGAGTGAGGTGTTGGCCCTTCTGATGAAGGTGCCTTTTAACATAGGCAATGGTCAGTGCTAGAGCAAGCAGCCAAGTTAAAGTTGCCAAATGGCATTTCTTACAGGACATCACATTCAGTATAACTCCTGCCTCTGAGCCAAATGTAAGGTATACATCCATTCAACTCTCAGTGTGCCCTTTGAGAGTAGCTGTAATGAGTACCTACTGTCATATTGCCTTTGAACCCTGTCATTAGGAACTGCCTCTGCTGAATAGGCCAAGGGCTGAACTTCAGAACCCCTTCAACCATCAGTGAGTGGAATTACAGCGCTAATGGCACTGTGAGTTTCTTACCTACAGCCTGGGTCCATGGCATGTCTTGCTGCTGATAATCTCCATGGCAAAGTAATTCTTGTCCCTTGCCCCTGCTGCAACTGGTGCAATAAAATGTTGAGGGAGGTGCGTTGGATCCTTGGAGCTGTACGTCTTCCTCATTGTTCATATGTCATAACATGGGGTGGGATCAGGCAAAAAAGGCTCACTTCAGGGAGAGCCTCACCTTTGGCACGGCAATTTATCGCAGTTGGATCAAGACAACACGGGTGATACACCATCTATATTGTGGGTGCAGCTCAAATGGATTAGGTAAAGTTAGCTCCACCACATCTGATGAGCAAGACCAAGATTTTGCTGCAGAGGAAAATCATCACCACGGTTGATGATCTCATCTTAGAAACTGAGTTTTACATTTAAGTGAAGACCAAAGCTGCTCTGGCACTCACAGCTCTCATTTTTGTAACTGAATCTTCTCGTTTTATTTCTTTACAGATGTTGTATGTAGGAGTGCAGGCAGTCGAGATGCTAAAGATACAGGGTCATGTATAATTGTGCAGTGCTGCTTCTTGTGGTGTCTTTGTTGTGAAGCTAGTGGCCAGATGTTTGTATATATATAGTTGCTAATAGCACTGGTAAGGAATATCACAGACAATCTGTATGCCAGAATCTGTGAGAACATCAAGCATGCGTGAGGAGACCAGTGTGTCTTCTACCTTCTTCCATTGCCTTTTCTGCCTTTTCCTACAGTAGTAGCTATTTTCCATTCTGCCCTTTTCTACCTCATTGAACCTTTAGCATTTTAAAAGCCTAAAGCTATAAAACCAGTGTGCCTTTTCGTCTGGATACCTCTATTGCTATGCATACAACATGGCAAATGTACCTTGAAGGTTGTACCTGGCTGGTGTCAGTGTCTGAGCTCTTTACTGGTTCAAGCTCAGAGCCTTCCTTGTTCTGTCCAGCTTCCTCCTGCATGTCACTGCTGTCCTCTGCGCTTGACTTCCCTTCTGTCCCCACATACAGACATGCAGAGGACTTGAAGGTATCCAGAGTATTTTTTAACTTTTTTTTTTTTTGTTCAAGTACGCCTTAAAATTTCTTTGCCATAGGGTTCCCTTCCTCCTGAATAACCTTTCCATTTTCCCTTTGCTCCCTGTGATTGTTACTGCTTTGCAAAGAAAGGGCTCTAGCAGTCTCCCTGCATGCACACATAGACCCTCGGCTTCTGGGCATTACGATTGGCCTTTTGTTGTATGCTGTGTTCAGTAGTGCTTCCCCGGAACACAGTAAATCATGTGTAGCAAGTAAGGTAACCACCTTGGGTTGTGGCTTAATTCCATAGGCAGGTGGAGAGAGACAGGAGCTGATGGGATATGCCACCTTATTGAGCCTCCCACACCTGGCTGTGGTTTGGTGCCTGTACCTGCAAAGTGCTGGAGGTCCCCAAGCCATTAGTGGGATTCTGTAGCTAAAGGAGCCATTCTCTTTCAGTGTGACTTGCTCGGTCATGCAAATCACAAAACTTCTAACTGGCTGCTGTTTTCCCCGATGCAAAGGTTAAGGTCACACATACATACTGGTCAGTCCTTATTAGATACCCTCAGAGGGCAGAGGATCTTTTCTAAAGTACATGTTCGGTGTGTTTGTGCAGAACAGGTTTTGTCTATAGTTCAGTGAAGCATGTGGATTGGATATGATTTTTGTTTGTTTGTTTAGAAGAGTGCGTACATCTGTATTGGTTATTTTTGCAGTAGATTTGAGTTTCAGAATGCTCGCAAGCTTTGCATGCAGAGCCATAGAGAAATGTTTGTAAGATATTTCAGAATTTTAATTTTGGTATAGTTCTGCTGCTTCTTCAGAAATGTTAAATTGCTTATTCATATATGTGTTGAAAAACCCCAGGAACCCTAGAACAAAACCATGACCAACGTCCATGTTAGTATGATCTGCAGGTGATGGTATCTCTGGTGGTTGTTGTAGATCAGAGGGAAGGTTATGGAGTTTTCATCATCATGGTGATGAACATGAGTCTTTGGTTTGCAGGCCTGCCTCAGTCACAGTTACAGAGTAGGTGCTCTAGTCTGTCAAGAAATCCAGAGGATGAGGGAATTTTAGACAACGTCAGGTTATATTAAACTCTTCAAGTAATATATATCAATCCAATAGTGTATGGGTTCTACTTCCAGGAATATTTGCCTGGTCTTTCTACCTTGTAGATTGTCTACTTGTCTTGTCATCAAAGCCAACATGCAGATTTTGAGGAGTATGTGTTATAAAACCTTTGTTAATGTTGTGATTGTTAGTTATTCACATTCAAAACACGTGCCATTCAAATACTTCGTGCACTTTGCGAAGTGGTTTCCAGCACATGTAAAAGGGTACGGGGCTGGGGGGGGGGGAAGAAGCTATTGTGTCTTGAAGATGTTGTGGTAGTCTGCGCGCTGTTGAGTGGCAGTAGTTTTCTCGTTCTGGAAAGTATACAAAATCCAACTTTCAGCAAGCAACGTGATTTGAGAGCTGTTTTACGCAAATTTTTAAAACCACTCTTTGTTCATTGGCACAGCCAACTAATGAAACAACTTTTCTAAGACTAGTGGTTGTTTCAAAGTAAGTGTCTTAGGCTCTAAAGATTTTGTTCAGTTTCCAAGACTGCACAACAGATCCCATTCAGAGATAATAATGCTTTCTAGAAGGTGAAAACACAATTGCTGTTACAACTGCAAACTTTTTGGGACACAAAGCTCCTGGCTCATTTTTATCATTTCCTCAAGTGGTAAGCTGAAGATGGAACCTGTTTTGGATACAGTTAACATTTTTGCTTCCCTTCTAAGCAAAATAAATTACTATCTGAAAAGCTATGAATAAATCCTAGGAGGAAATTTCTTTTCCAGAAGTGGGTTTTTCTTCTTCCCTTGCAACTGATGATCTTGAAATTTAGAGTGCATTTCGCAGGGATGTAGTTACTTTTCTCCATTCTTGCCCGTATCCATCTCTTGAGTACCCTCAGACATTCAGTTGCATTTCTTATGCAGCTACCCAGCAATATTGCTGACTGGAGAGTCATTGAGGCTGTTTTGGGAGGATATTTTGGTTTTTTTTGGTGCAGGCATGATGAAGGTAGTTGCCTGGCTGAGGTGAAATTCTGTATTGTAATTATGGGTGATACAAATAGTAGCATCTGATTAGCATGGAGTGCTATAGGGATGCTACTTGTAGTAACATAGAAGTGCTCTTTCTATGCCACTAGTATAAAAATACATTCACAGGACATACATTTCTATTTTAGCTAGTGAGAAATGCATTAAACTTGGTACTAACTCCTTTAACTTCTTGGCATTATTGGAAAAACAACTGACCAGTTATTTAAAAAGGGAGTGTCTATGTAATCTTCCATAGTTGAATGAATGTTTTTTTTGGGTGGAACTTCTAATGTCAAATCCCAGTACTGTGTTGGCCTTGAGCAGAATTAGACCCAGGAAATCACCTGATGGCTAGAAAGAGAGGAATGCAAGCAAACCTCTGCTAAGGGTTTTACGTAGGAGCTGCCAATTTCGACTCTGCTGTGCACATACTGAAAGCAGTATAACTTTGCAAATAGGCTGTCCCTGATAGTGTATTGGCTATTTCTGGGGGAAAAAGGAAAGGAAAAAAAAAAAAAAGCTGTATCTCTTAAAACTAAGCCCTGAAGGAAATGGTTCTCTTCTAGGTATACTGCAGCATCCAGATGGGACTGTCCTGAAGCAGCTGCAGCCACCACCTCGTGGTCCCAGGGAGCAGGAGTTCTACAACAAGGTGAGGGTCTTGCAGCATGGAGGGAGCTGGCTCGCTGTGGGTGAAATGATGGGTGTGCTTCCTGTAGAAGTACATCCTTATTGTTGCGTTCGGGAAAGTGCAACCTAAATATCTGAACGGCAGGTCACCAACAGCCCTGTCATGGTATCTGTGTGCTGTCTAGAACTTTCTCCTCTTTGAATGTCTGTCCTTATGCCAGACCTACTTACTCACAGGATTTAAGCTTGCTTATTTGCTCATGGGACAGTGGGGTTTTCACAGCATTTAAGATTTTATTGAAAAGACTTGTATTATCTCCATCTATTATTAAAGGGTGTTAAGTTTGATCCCATCTTTCTCATGTTGCGAAGTGTCTCAGAATTGGTTGTGTCTAAATTTAGCATGTCTTACACTTCCATCTAGTCTGGTTTATTGCTAGAAGTATTGCTCTGTTCACTGTATTAAAACTGTTCACTGTATTAAAACACAACTCCTTTAAAAAGTCAATAAAACAACTGAAGAGTTTCACTTTTTAACTGTAGTTTGTTGTATTTTACCTATTGCTGATCTTGTTAGCTTTATCAGTAACGTTAACAGCATAAACCAGGAAAGCTGTTGCTTGTTGTCTTATGAGGGTAAACTGTTTTTTGAGTCTCTTTCCCTTACCGACCTACCTGGCTGTGATAGTCTATCACGTGTTTTTTCTGTATCAGCTTGATATGTCATCCCTTTCCATGGCTTGTTAGGTATGAAGAACTGTAGAAATCTTCATGCAGGATGAGAGAGAAATTTTGAGACCCTCTTTTTGTTGTGGTGTTTGTT